CTTCTTCTTCTTCTTCTTCTTCTTCTTCTTCTTCTTCTTCTTCTTCTTCTCTTCTTCTTCTTGTTTCTTCTTCTTTTTCCTCCTCCTCCTTTTCCTCCTCTTCTTTCTCTTTCTTTTTTTTTCTTTCTTTCACTACCATGCAGTGTCTAGTTGGGGTATCATCCCTACGTGGTAGGATAATTCCACTAAAACTTATTATATATGTAAACAAACACACTCACACATATATAAGTATGTATACATATGTACAGAAATTTTCTTCAGATTGAGTTATTTACCATAAGCATATATAATATTATTGCACATCCATTGTGATGCCTGGACTTGATCCAGTGGTACAGGAATGACTGTGGAAAGTATCACTGGTTGAATTTGGCTAGGTAAGAGCTGCCCTGGGCAATGTCAAACATTGCCAGAAGATTTTTTTAAGTAGGTGGTATAATCACTATAGATTAAAAAAAAAAAAGACACTGTGATAAACGGAGCCAAGTGTGGTTGGACTCCAGAAGCTAAGGCAAGAGGTCACTGCTATCCTAGGCTATATAATGTTACCTTGTATCAAATGAACAAAAACTGGACAATCAAGAGGTTCTCGAAGAGGAAAGACTATTATTTTTGATGGAGAATTTTAGAAATGACCATAATAATATAGTAAGGGCAGTAAAGCATTGTCATTGTCTGAACATGGACCTATTTATTTTTCCTTGTTCAAAGCTCATAATACCAACTAATTATAGCAATTACCTTTAGATAATTGTTTTCCTATCATCAAACTAACATTAAAATCTATTTATTGGTTTAATTTATACCTATTAGAATCTACATTTCAATATTGGTTTAGCCTGACTAGATTTTATTTTGAGTTTGCCTCAGTTTCTGTCCCTTAAAGCAGAGAAATAAAGAATATGGAGTGCTGCTGAATTAACTGTCTCTCCTTGAACTCCCTTGTGTAAATAATGGGAAAGCTACAAGCCTGATGAATAGAGACTAATCTATAGGGCAAGGAGGACAAAGGTTACTGTTACTTAGAATCCTCTAGGGCTCCTGTAACTCTGAAACAAATCATGGTCACCAAGAAAAAGAACCCTGAACTTAAATAGTTGCCAGGGCCTCTTTCAAACATCACAATACAGATCACTATATCTCCACAACCATGTTTCATTTATCTCATGGTCCCTGGACTGAGAGTTTGCCACACTGATTTTGCTTCCTAACATCTTGAACACAATAAATAGATGCTAGTATGGAACGGAAAGATACTCGAGACCAGAGCAACAGCCTGGTGTTGTTAAATTGAAACATCGTTCAATGGCCTTCTGCAAACTTAAGAATGTCTAAAGACTTCCCTTTGAACCACCTCTCTTTCCTTTAACTGATTGAATGTGGCTTTTTCTCAGTAGCCAAGTGTCATTCCAGCTCAAATGACACCTGCCAGGACAATATGGCCTGGAGCTGAAAAGACTTTTAGTTCTCTGTCTTTAGAAGACAGTGTCATGGTGTAATGAGAGCTGTGGTTCACAGGAAACACAGGTTTTCAGAGCCATGCTAGACATTCTTAGGGATATGAAGAGACCTTGTTAAATTTACAGTCTGTTTAATCAGCAGCAGGATTTGAATATTTATCTGGCCAGCAAAGCAAAGTAGCAAGTTACAGAGAAAATAGAGTTTTCATTGCGATTATAATATAATGGAAGATCCATGAAAGACCAAAGCACACGGAACAATGCTGTAGAACTATCATTATTCTAATCAGTTGAACTATGCAGAAATATTCACAGAAATGTCATTTGAATGTTATTTCTAGTGTGAGCATTGGGAAATGAGAAAATCATCAGATCTGTCTTTGAAAATCATTGGTACCGATTCCAATTACCACAGTGAACATCCTTCTCAATTGTAGATTAGTTGTTCCACTCCAAAGTACTTCACATGTTATTTTACAAAAGCAAAGTAGATAAAGTATGGAGAAATAGTCTATGATACCTGATATGCTATAATTTGGATCAATTATTTTATTTTATTTTTAATTATGTTTATGAGTATGTGAGTATGTGCATAAGAGTGCAAGTGTCAGAAAAGATCAGAGCTAGGAGCAAACTTTGAATCCTCTTTAAGAGAAGTGTAGCCTTTTAGCCACAACCATCTCTCTATCCAAAGGGAAGATTTTTAAAAAAATTTTTAAATCCAGTTTCTCATAGAAAACTAAAAACTCCGGAACTAGTATCTGAAAAATTGCTCTCAAATTTGATGTTCTTTCTTTTTTATTTATGTATTTTTTTTACAATTCATTCATTATATATACCGATTGAAGGCCCTTGGTGTACTTTCTTCTAGGCTTCTGACTATGGCTTTTTCTTCCATTCTATCCTCCCTCTCTCTTTCTGTCTTCTCTCTTGCTGTGTAATTTTATTTATTAAGCTGACAATCATTGTATATCTGAATTATGCACAACATAATGTTTTAAAATATGTAAGCATGCAGAATGAATGAACAAGGTGAATTAAAATGTGTATCACCTCATATTTTACCTATCATAAGACCTTGAGCCAGTTCTTCCCATCTCTGAGATTTAATTTCCTCTAATTATAAAATGAACATAATTGATGTTTTGTTGCTGATAATGTCAAGTAGATGCAAGGAAATTAAATGAGGTAACATGTGAGAGAGCGCAGCAGCCAGCTTCACAGCTACCTTGTAAGGAAAGGAAACTTCTTGTGAAAAATTTATCCATTCTCATTAGAAATGAAAAAAAAAGTGCTGCTTTAGAACTGTACTGGCTTAGGGTGCATAGACCCACTAGAAACAGAGCTTCAAGTTGTAGGAGTCTACGTTATATTTCCAATCTATTTTTAAGGGCCACTTGATACAGTGATAATTTCTCTCCTGAAGTTCTCCCTTTAGTTCTTTTTAATAAAGTCAGGGGGTATTAGCATTCAGAGCACAGGGTCAGTCCAAAGGGAATACAATGGCCTCTGCCAGATATCTTCCAAATACTGGGAGCACTCAGCCTGAACTCATCTCTGGGAAGTGCTTCTGAGGACTACTGCTAATACAATAAGCTGTGTCACAGGGTGCTCACTCATGCAAGTCTCGTTCTCCTCTTTTTTTCAGCAAGGACTGAAAATAGTTCACCATGCAGAGAAGACACTGTCCAGCTTCTGCAAGTGGCAGAAGAGCATCAATCCCAAGAGTGACCTCAACCCTGTCCATCATGATGTGGCTGTCCTTATCACCAGGTAACTCAGAGGCTATGTGGAAAGAAGAGAACTGGTCAAGGAAGGCCAGTGACTCAGGGTCTTGTCAGGTGTTCACGCTCTTGGATTCTCACTATTCTCTGCTGTTCTTGGTCATTTGTTTATTATTATTACTATTATTATTTACAATTTATTCACTTTGTATCCCAGCTGTAGCCCCCTCCATTATCTCCGCCTGGTCTGACCCTTCCTCCCTCTTCACTCCATATGCCCCTCCCCTAGTCCACTGATAGGGGAGGTCCTCCTCCCCTCCTATCTGACCCTACCTATCAGGTCTCATCAGGACTGTCTAGATCCTTTTTCTCTGTGGCCTAGTAAGGCCATACTGCCATGGTGAGGTGATCAAAGAGCAGGCAACCAAGTTTATGCCAGTGATTGCCCCTGGTCCCCTTACTAGGAAACCCACATGGGCTACATCTAAACAGAGGGTTTAGGTCCTCTCCATGTACGGCCCTTGGTTGATTCATCGGACTCTGCAGTCCCCGTTAGGCCCATATTTTTTGGCTCTGTTGGTCTCCTTGTGGAGCTCTTGTTCCTTTCTGGTTCTTTTTATCTCCCCCTTCTTGCATAATATTCCCTGCACTCTGCCCAAAGTTTGGTTATAAGTCTCAGCATCTGTTTCAATACCTTGCTTGTTAGAGTCTAGAATCTGAGAAAACCCAAAAAATTGTTAGGTCTTACTTCAAAAGCCTATATGCCACAAAATTTGAAAATCTAATTGAAATGGACAATTTTCTTTATAAATTCCACTTACTAAAGTTGAATCAAGATCAGGTTGTTTGTTTGTTTTTTTTTAAAGTCCTATATCCCCTAAGTAAATAGAAGCAGTCATAAAAGTCTCCCCTGTTTGGTCATTTGTAAAGCAGGAATGTGGTCCTTAACCCTCTGCTGGCTCATGCCATGGAGAGGACATGCTAGTAACGGCATGTTAGACAGAGCTCTACTTTCTTAAGAACTACATTTGTTAGCAAACAAGTCTCTTTTCCTATCATAACAAAGATTCTGCCTTTATGATTGTCCTTTTTGCACCAAGAAATCTACTTTTAAATCTTTTGAAGATCTCTGTAACCTCATCTGGTGGACTTTCCAGTTCTTTTATTTCTATTTCATCTTCCCCTCTCCAATTTATAAGATGCAACTCTATAGGAATTTACCTTTTCCAACCCACTCCTGACTGGTCCTTAGGATACAGTGCGCACACACATCCCCAAGTAAGCAGAGTGATCTAACTATATCTATTTCCTTTTCACCCTCATACTTTTAATATGGGAATATACTGCAGTAGCAGGTCACTTGCCTAGAATTAGTGAGGCCTTGGGTTCAAGGCACAGCATCGGAAAGATATAATTTTGTTGTGATCACACATGGATCTTATAGTGCTATAAAAAAAATAAACCTAGATGCTGAAAAAGCATTTGACAAAATCCAACATCCATTCATGTTTAAAGTACTGGAGAGATCAGGGATACAAGGCACATATCTAAACATAGTAAAGGCAATATACAGCAAGCCTATAGCCGACATCAAACTGAACGGAGAGAAACTTAAAGCAATCCCACTGAAATCAGGGACAAGACAAGGCTGCCCACTGTCTCCATATCTCTTCAACATAGTGCTGGAAGTCCTTGCTAGAGCAATAAGACAGTCGAAGGAGATCAAGGGGATACAGATGGGAAAGGAAGAAGTCAAATTATCACTATTTGCAGATGATATGATAGTATATATGAGTGACCCCAAAAACTCTACCAGGGAACTCCTACAGCTGATAAACACCTTCAGCAAAGTGGCCGGATACAAAATTAACTCAAAAAAATCAGTAGCACTCCTGTATACAAAAGACAAAAGGGCTGAGAAAGAAATTAGAGAAACAACACCATTCACAATAGCCACAAATGACATAAAGTACCTTGGCGTAACCCTAACCAAGCAAGTCAAAGACTTGTATGAAAAAAATTTCAAGTCTCTAAAGAAAGAATTAGAGGAAGATATGAGAAGATGGAAAGATCTCCCATGCTCATGGCTTGGCAGGATTAACATAGTAAAAATGGCCATCTTACCAAAAGCAATCTACAGATTTAATGCAATTCCCATCAAATTGCCAACACAATTCTTTACAGACCTGGAAAGAAAAATTCTCAACTTCGTATGGAATAACAAGAAACCGAGAATTGCTAAAACAATCCTCTACAATAAAAGATCTTCTGGAGGTATCTCCATCCCTGATCTCAAGCTGTACTATAGAGCAACAGTTATAAAAACTGCATGGTACTGGCATAGAAACAGAATGGTGGACCAATGGAATCGAACAGAAGACCCAGAAATAAACCCACATACTTACGGACACCTGATTTTTGACAAAGATGCCAAAACCATACAATGGAAAAAAGATAGCATCTTTAACAAATGGTGCTGGTCCAACTGGATGTCTACATGTAGAAAAATGAAAATAGATCCATACTTATCACCCTGCACAAAACTGAAGTCCAAGTGGATCAAAGACCTCAACATAAAACCAGACACATTAAATCGGCTAGAAAAAAAAGTGGGGAATACCCTAGAACTCATTGGTACAGGAGAAAACTTCCTGAACAGAACACCAACAGCACAGGCTCTAAGAGCAACAATCAATAAATGGGACGTCATGAAATTGAAAAGCTTCTGTAAAGCAAAGGACACCGTCATCAAAACAAAGCGACTGCCTACAGATTGGGAAAGAATCATCACCAACCCTCTATCTGACAGAGGACTCATATCCAATATATATAAAGAACTAAACAAGCTGAAAAGCAACAAACCAAGTAATCCACTTAATAAATGGGAAACAGAGCTAAAGAGAGAATTCTCTGCAGAGGAATATCGAATGGCAGAGAAGCACTTACAGAAATGCTCAACCTCATTAGCCATTAGAGAAATGCAAATCAAAACAACCCTGAGATTTCACCTTACACCTATCAGAATGGCCAAGATGAAAATCTCAAGGGACAACACATGCTGGAGAGGTTGTGGAGAAAGGGGAACCCTTCTCCACTGCTGGTGGGAATGTAAACTGGTACAACCACTCTGGAAATCAATCTGGCGCTTTCTCAGACAACTAGGAATAGCGCTTCCTCAAGATCCAGCCATACCACTCCTAGGCATATACCCAAAAGAGGCGCAAGTACACAAAAAGGACATTTGCTCAACCATGTTTGTAGCAGCTTTATTTGTAATAGCCAGAAGCTGGAAACAACCCAGATGCCCCTCAACTGAAGAATGGATGCAGAAACTGTGGTACATCTATACAATGGAGTATTACTCAGCAATGAAAAATAAGGAAATCATGAAATTTGCAGGTAAATGGTGGGACCTGGAAAGGATCATCCTGAGTGAGTTGTCCCAGAAGCAAAAAGACACTCACGGTATATACTCACTCATATAAACATACAATATAGAATAAACCCACTAAAAGCTGTACATCTAAACAAACTAAGCAAAAGAGAGGACCCTAACTAAAATGTTCAATCACCATCCTGAAAGGCAAAGAGGATGGACATCAGAAGAAAAAGAAAATAGGAAACAACCTCGGAACCCGCTACAGAGGGCCTCTGAAAGCCAGAAGAAAACAGGAAACAACCTTGAAACCTGCCACAGAGGGCCTCTGAAAGCTTCTTCAGTATAGACTGTCAAAGCCGATGCTGAGCCTGATGGCCAACTGATGGGCAGAGTGAATGGAATTTTATGTAAGAAGTGGGAAATAGTAAGAGCTGGAGGGAACGGGAACTCCACAAGCAGAGCAACAGAACAAGATAATTTGAACACAGGGAACTTCCCAGAGACTCATACTCCAACCAAGGACTATTCGTGGAGATGACCTGGAACCCCTGCACAGGTGTAGCCCATGGCAGTTCAGTGTCCAAATGGGTTACATAGTAATGGGAAGAGGGACTGCCTCTGACATAATCTGATTGGCCTGCTCATTGATCACTTCCCCCTGAGGGGGGAGCAGCCTTACCAGGCCACAGTAGAGGACAATGCAGCCACTTTTGATGAGAACTGATAGACTAAGATCAGAAAGAAGAGGAGAACCTCCCCTATCAGTGGACTTGGGGAGTGGCATGCATGCAGAAAGGGGAGGGAGGGTGGGATCGGCAGGGGAGGAGGGAGGGGCTTATGGGGGGATACAAAATGAATAAAGTGTAATTAAAAAAAAATAAACTTTTGGATCCAAAACTTTAAAAAGTTAATGATCTCTTTTATCAATTCAGGCTTTTTGAAACCTATGATTATTCACTGGCTCAGTAAATATTTATTGACTTCCTTCTATATTCCTTATAACAAGGGCTCATATAATAACAGGCATTAGTTCTTGCTAGGCAGCTTCTGTGAAGTGACAGACATCCAGAAATCTAAGGATGTGTACTAAAAGAGCCCTCCTCTCTGAGGAAGAACCAGAGCCATTGTGCTTAATGTGCTATCCCACAGGGGTCTACTGGGCAACCTAAGGTACAGTAGTCCCTAGGAATCCACTGCTACAGATGCATACCCAAAGCTTCCCTTGGAACATATTTGCATATAACCAGGCTTTAGTACTTTCACTCAAAAGCAGGATTCTGATAGTTGAAATTTCAGGTGAGGGTAACACAGATGTATGTATTACATAGGATCACTTATCTTCTACATTAGGATGATCCTGTCAAAATGTCAGGGCTATCTTGTTTTGGGTGGCCTGTTTTTCATATGACACATACCCAGGGCCTTCTTAAGTTTATGACCTTAAGATTTGTCATTTGGATCTTGACAATTCTTTATTGTGGAAGCTTTTCCTGTGAAAAATATATAGCCTCTGATCTTTACTCATGAGAATTGTATCCCACATACACAACTATAAGAATCCAAATTATTCCCAGACCTTATCAAAATTTCCTTAAGAAATAAGTAAGATGAAAATAATTTTCTACTCCTCATCATACTCAAATCCCTGCTTTAAAAAAAATCTGGTAAAAAAAATAGGTAAGAGAAGAGGAGAATGAGTAGAAGACTAAGCTTTGCCACTGGGGAACTATTCTGAGACCCACAATGGCAGTGCCTTATAGAATTGCATTCAGTGGAGGGTAGATTTGTAGGAATACCCTACATGTATGTTTCACGTGCAACCTTCTAAGGCATAGTTTCCTGTATATATCTCTAGTATATTATAAGATAGCCAACCTCCCTTGCAATGCAAATTTCCTTGCCTCCATGGATCATATTGTCATAATTCCTGTTTTCTCCCCCTTTCCCTCTCTTTAATGCAAAGCACTTAGTAGGTATTCCACAAAAATTATGTAACAGACATTGTCTCCTTTCGAATCAAACTGAGAGAGAGTTAGTAGATTAGCAATGGGTGTCATACAATTTTTCCCCAACAGGCCTCTGATGAGTTGCAATTTTAGATTAAGTAATAAAAGCCCTTCCCACAGCCAATGTTATTTGGCTGAAGACTGTGTGCTCTACCTATACAATATTCAATACTTCACCAGCTGCTGACAGTGGACATGTGACTCATATCTACAGTGCATATGAAAGGGGCTGTTTCTCTCACTTCCTAGTGCTACCCACTACCATTTAGAGAACTAAAATTTCTCACAGGTTCTACAAGTGTAGAGTTTTCCATTGCCCAAATGACACAGAAATCAAGAGACCATTTGTTGCTACAGTTGGTGCGCACACAACCCCAGGAGCTAATAGGCTTTGCAGTTAAAGTCTGGGAACTCCACCGGCACTTATGCTGATAATCAAAAGCTCTTCTTGTGCTTGAGGAAAGTCTCGTGACTCATTAATGACTCTCTCAAAACTCTTTTCAACAATTGAAATAATCTGTCTAGGCTATAAGAGCATGCTTTTATTTATTTATTTATATCTCAAAGCTGTAGTATTTTTTTTTTAGGTTCTAGGAGTCTTTCCTTCTCTTTTTCTAGCTAATTGCTGGTGCGCTGGTGTGAAGGGTAGCACAGATTTCACAGTGTGCGCATGATACGCACATACATGCATACAAATGTGCAAGCTTTATTAGTACTATGACTAAGTAATTGATTTGATCTCTTTGTGGGATAGTGGGAGAAATTACATTTGTCATGAAAAACAAAACAAAACCTCAGATGAGTTTTGAGAATAGACTTCAGAAAGACCAAAAGGAGGTTTCATGTCTGAAAAGAAAATTGCTAACTATCTCTTCCTTATTCAAAGTTCAAATTACCTTTTATTATCAGGGCAATCTTTTGTTGGCCTAATAATACTAGTTTCCTGATATGATGAGCAAAAAAGCAGTAAATAAGGTGATTTACATTTCCCCAAATACTTAAAGTTTGAGAAATTCAATTAAAAGATAAATGCAGAGAAACTTTAACCTAGCAACATGGCTACTCTGGCATAGGATCACATCCAAAGACCTAGGTCTGTATGATCTGGCTGGAATACACACCTTTAATCTCTCTGGCTAGAATACAGGCATGCTTTCAGTACACACCTTTAATCCCCCACAAATGACATCTAACTGAGCAACAGAGAAAATGTCAACTTAGAGAAAGATTTGACAGAATGAGTCAAAGATAGGATCTGCCCAATTCTCATGAGGACAGGAAAGAGAAGCTACTCAAGAGCAAGAGAGAGAGGAGGGTGAGAGAAAGTTGGGTTGAGAGAGAGGGAGGGAGGAAGAGAGAGATAGAGTAAGAGAGAGACTAAGAGCAACACACAGACTGTGGAGACAGTTCAGAATAGTTCAGTGTAGTTCAGTTGAGTGCAGTTCAGTTTGTGGAGTTCAGAGGCAGTTTTTTTTTCTTTAATTTTATCTTTCTTATTAGTTACATTTTGTTAATTCTGTATCCCAGATGTATCCTGCTCCCTCATTCCCTCCCCAATCCCACCCTCCATCCCTCATCTCCTCCCTGCCCCTTTCCAAGTCCACTGATAGGGGAGGACCTCCAGAGGCAGTTTTTTTAAAGCTTAACTTTTATCTATTCATTTTAAATCCCAGTCATAGCCCACTCCATCCTCTCCTCCCAAGTCTCACCTTCTCCCTGTTTCCCCTATCCCCCTACCTACTCTTCAGAGAAGGGGAGCCCCTCACTCACCCACCCAGCCCTGCCACATCAAGTAGCATCAGGACTGAGAGCATCCTCCTCCATGGTGCCCTAGCAAGGCAGCCACACCAGTGGGAAATGATCAAAAGCAGGCAACAGAGTCCATGTTCCTCTTACTAGGAGACCCATATGAGGACTGAGCTGCCCATCGGCTACATCTGTATAGACTGCCTAGATCTAGTCCACAAGTGGTCCTTGGCTGGTGATCCAGTTTCCAAAGTTTTTCTAAGCAGAACAATTTAATAAGAATCGAAGAGAACCAGTTTGTATTAATCAGCTTGGAGGGGAGTTTTGAACCAAAACAGCAGAGTTGCAGCAGCCAGTCAGAGTTCAGAAAGAACTAGAAAGGGTGAGCTTATTCAGCAGTAAGTCTCGAAGGCTCAAAACATTCTAGGGCTAGGTTAGAGGATGAGGGCTGGAAGCTGAAGCCTTCAAGGTCTGTGATTGTAGAAGATTAAATTGTATGGAGTCTAGAAGCTTCCAGGCTTAAGCCTAGGGGTAGTTATATAGAAACACTCTGGGCTCAGCCCAAGCCATGTATTCATAAAGCTTTGGTACGGCTTTCATCTAATGTCTTCATCTGAGGAAATAAAAACATTTCCAGATAAAACTACAATAAATCCAATGACTTTAAAGCTGATCCCTGTTTTTATATGGACTTTATTTTAATGCATGCATTAAAGACACAGATGATAGCAGTTTATCCTGGTACATTTTTATGGGAAGTGTTCTCAAACATTTCTTTGGGTATTTAAGCATCTCTGTTCTCTGCTTTCAGAAAGGACATCTGTGCTGGTGTCAATCGCCCTTGTGAGACTCTAGGACTGTCTCAACTGTCAGGAATGTGCCAGCCCCACAGGAGCTGTAACATCAATGAAGACTCTGGCCTCCCGCTGGCTTTCACCATTGCGCATGAAATTGGGCACAGGTAAAGGGCTAGAGCAGCAGAAATCCATTCGCCATGCTCACGTATCAGTAGCACTAAAGGAAGTAGACAGCACGGTAAACTGAGAGTTGAGAGATCAAGTTTGCATGTGGCACAGGCTTGCCCACCTGACTTCTGTACCCTCATCTGAAAAGTGGGGACAATACCATATTTCACAATCTTCATCTACTCTGTCTTTACCATGTATAACTATTATATATTAAAATTGACAAGACTCCCTAAAAATGCCATTTTTTTTGGCTTCTTTGCTTGGGTTTTGTTTAAGACATAGTCTCACAGTGTAGCCCACAATGACTTGAAACTCACTGTGGAGCTCAGGCTGGCCTTCAGTTCGTTACAGTTCTCCCTTTGGCTCCCAAGTAATAGAATTATAGGCATGAGTCTCAACATCCATCTTGGAATGACATTTTTTTTAAGTTCCCTAATATCACTTACCTTTATTGGTTAAACACTCCATGGTAATAATGAAGACCCAAATTATCTCCAGTCCTATTCCACAATAACAGCCGTGTTCATTTTCAAGTGGTCAAACAATAATTCAGGGGTGACAGGATGTGATGGTTAATCTTCATTGTCAGTATGACTATTTACAATCACCATGGAAATATATATTTTTGAGTGTATCTATGAGATGTTTCCAGAAAAATTTAATTCAAGAGCTAAGACATACTTTGAATGTGGGGTGCATCATCCCATAGTCTTTGTCACTCAATTAAAAAAAAAGGATAAAGTGGTCCATTTATCTCTACTTCACGGCGGCTGATGCAAGTGACCAGTTGCCTCATGCTCCTGCCAAATGTCTTTCCCACAGTGATCCTCAAACTGTGACTCAAACTGAACCCTTACACCTCCAAGTTGCCCCTTTCAGGTATCTTGCTACAGCAATGAGTAGTAAGACCGTAGACAGCTCATTTTGTCTTTCTATACTAACTCTATCTGTTAAATCAGTAGGCTGTGCCAGGCAAATTCCTAGGTGCTGTGATTTATTAAATCCTCACATCACAGCCTCAGTGACAAATGTGATAGCTTTTAATATCTTTGGCTGCCAAAAATTCAGAGAAAAGAGAACATAGATGACTTTTTACATGATGGTTGGAGTACCGGAGGAGCTACAACAAAATGCTAATCTTGGAAAGCCAAGCAATGGCTGCCAGTCACAGTATAAGGAAAGCTATTCTCATATGCATGCATCCAGGCCTCCTCAACCTTGCTCGATAGGGAAGGAGGCTCCCATGGAGGCTGTGGTGCCAATAGCACCTTCTGGCAAGTGAATACAGCAGAGTCAAACTGAGAAGTAATTGTTTAAGACCTTCTCGGCAACCACATATTCAATGTGAAGGAGCGTTGAGAAAATGTAGCTTGATAATACGCAAGTGAAAATGTTATTTACGTTTAGAGAATGGATGCCTTGCAATCCCAAGTTCAACCTGGCATGAGAAGGGAAAGCTAAGTTAGTCTTCCAACAGCAAGTTGACTCCAGTTCTGAGACAGTTGTTGGAATCACTATCCGGACATCATATATCTATCATTGGTATGACCATCCGGACATACATCAGTTCATTAGTATGACTATCTGCACACATGCCTATCACCTTTGTGAGGAAGGCTGGACGTATTTACTGCTCCTCAGAAGTGGTGGACTGCTTGGCAGACTGAACTGGGTACTGTCTACAGTAGTTTGCTATTGTATTACCTGGGGTTAAAATGAATGCTAGCTCAGGGCTGGTCAGTGCATCTGGAAATAAAATGATAGATGCTGTATTCTGTGCTTGGGTTGCTGATGATGTGGTGTTTCATATTACACAGGGAAATGAGGATCTGGGTCTGAAAATGAATCCTTATAAATAAAAATTGTGTTCTGAAAAAAAAAACTTCAGGGTAAACTAGGTCACTAAGAAGGTGATTAGAGGTGAGTATTTGAGAGTATTTGGAAGGGCAAATGCCAATAAGGAAAAACAGTGAAGGGAGAGGAGGTGATTAAGAGGTCAATCACCTTAACTTTTCCTAGACCCTAATTTCATGGGGAAACTCTCAAAAAGATTGTGCTTCAGAGTGATTCCACACAAGGAAGAAAATCCTGAGTCATTTTACATAAGATATTATTAAATCATTTGTCAAAGTTTGTCCCCAGGGGCCTGTATGCCATCTTAATACCAGCATGGTAAGAAAAGGTAGGATATTCTCATGTGTCCTTGAGGAAAGCAAAAATAAAAATAAAAAATAAAAAGAGTAACAAACAGTCTGTCTGCCCCAAGATCATTCACTGAGTCAAAAGAAATTGTCTGGACAGTTTGATAGTTGTAATGACTCAATAAAATTACATGGATTGCTTATAAAAGAAAGAAAAAAATGGCACAATACATGAATATACATTTCACCAAAAGAATATACAGATGTCAAATAAGCATAAGAATAGTTTCTTTAGTATCACTAGTTACAGGAAAATGAAAATTAAAGCTACGCCTTTGTGTTACTACACACCTATGAAAATGACTAATAAATATTAATGATTATATATAATAAATATGAATAATGACACCTAATGGTAGTGAGGATGCAGATGAAGTCTATTTGATGCTAGCGGGAATCTAAAATAGTTTAAACATTCTGCAGAACCTTTTGGTAGGCTTTTTAAAACTAAGCCCACAATTACCATATGACCTGCAATTATTTTCCTGGGTTTTCATCTGGAAAATAAAAATGATAATTTGTGCTCACATAAGAAGATGTACATGAATGTTTATAAAAGCTTATATCCAAACTGGAAATGAATCTTGAAGCATTTGAACCCACCAAGGTTGAGAAACTCTGATGAGTTTCTAGTCAGCAATAGATGGAATAAATTATTAATATATGCCACTACCTCAATACGTCCCTAAAGCATTCTGATTAATGAAAAAGATCACGCATGACGCGCCATTCATATAGCACTGTGGAAACAGAACTCTGAAAGAAGGGGAACAAAATTATAGCAAAGGAAGACATAATTAAAAGAGAAGGTATGGAAATGTAGGTTACTGGTTATCACCTACCACTGGTCAGCCCTAAGGTCAGATCCATAAAAGCATCATTATATGAAGTGAGCAGATTGAATTTACATATTTAGAAATATGTACAGCAACAATTAAAGGAAAACAGTCCTGAGAGAGAGAGCAAGATGGGTGCATGAGTTGAGGGAGAAAGGGGATGGGGAAAGGTTATGTAATTCTATTTTAATTAAAAAAAATAAAATATTATTTACTTAAAACTGCCACATGAGGGATCCTGTAGTAATAAAACATATTACATTGTGATGTTATGCTATCTTTGTCTTGCAAAATATGAGCATTGAGAAAAAGCAGGTGAAGATAATCTCTGTGCAGAGTTTTGTATGATAGCACCAGAAGCTAAAGTTATCTTAAAATAATAAAAGAAGTACAGAGAACTATCTCAGAACAGCTTGTACAGAAATACCCCATGCTTCTTAGAAACTTTCTCTCTCTCTACTAAGAAGTTCATCATTTTGGACTGGAAATGTTGCTTACTTGGTGGAATTCTTGATTAGCATCATGAAGCCCAGAGTTTGACCCTGGTACTGCATGAATCAAGTATGGTGGCACACAGCTGGAATTTCAGCACGTGGAGGTAGACTAGAGGTAGCTGGGTCACAAGTTCATGGTCAGCCTCAGCTACATAGCAAGCTAGGGGCTACCCTGAGCTGCATAAGACCCTGTCTCAAGATTACCTTATTTGTGAATTTCTTTTGAGACTGGCTAGCGAGTCTTTTCTAGCTACTGAATACATGGCCTTCTGCGGCAAGCATTTCAGGAGCCTGGTGGAACCAATGGGCAGCAGCCTGAGGAAGCCTGTCCAAGAGGATTTCACTTCATCGCCTTCTTCATAAATGGGTAGCAAAAGCTTTGCAGGCTGGCTCCATGTCTCACTTTGTAAACAGCTCCTTTGGAACAAAAGTGGCTTCCTGTGATTTTTAATCACTTTGGTGGGCCTGTGAATTTCTCCTGTTTAATGCCCGTCTGCTTTCTGTTCTCATGTTTTGTGTCAGCTTTGGCATCCAGCATGACGGAAAAGAAAATGACTGTGAGCCTGTGGGCAGACACCCGTACATCATGTCCCAACAAATTCAGTATGATCCCACCCCGCTGACATGGTCCAAGTGCAGCAAGGAATACATCACTCGCTTCTTGGAGTAAGTGCAGTTCCCTTCATGACAGCCTCTCTTGGTCTCTAAGTCAGAAGTTTCAATGAGTTTCCCACAGAGGAGTTAATGCCAGGAGAAGACTTGGTTTCATTTTCCAGTGCACAGTATCATCGAAGGAATGATGCCCCTTCTGCTTGACTATGACCCCCATTCACAAGCAAGTGAGCAACTGCTTCTCCCTCATTGACCCTGCCCCAATGAAGCTTTATATATGTAACCATAGAGTAAGTTCTTCGAGAGTGACAAGTTGGAAATGTTCAGTCAAACTTGTTAAGAATAAGATCACGATTGTTTCCTCCCCCCCCCCCACTGTCTACTGTTTTGTCTTTGTCACCTTGACACACACTATGTGGGAAGGAAAGCCTCAACTGAGAAAATGACTCCATCAGATGGCCTTCAGGAGAGTCTGTCCTGATTACTGATCGATGTCCTGAGCTGTGTAAGAAAGCAGGCTGAGCAAGCCATGAGGAGCAAACCCATAACAAGCATTCCTCCATGACTTAAACTTCGGTTCCTCCCTCCTGTTTCTACCTTGGCTTCCCTAACTGATGGTCTGCTAGTAGAAGTATAAGAAGCAGTAAGACCTTTCCTTTCCAAGTTGCTTTTGGTCGTGGTCTTTATCACAGCAATAGAGACCTAAGTAGGAAACCTACTATTGGATTTCCTAGATAACAACTACACTTTTTCTATTGGACATGATTTGCATTTCCTTTTATTACCTTTCTTCCAAGGCCTGGGGGTTTCTCATGCTTACAAGAATAAGGCTATCTGGAAGGACAAAGAATAAATTAAGATGAAAATGTCTGTTGCATGAGTGGAGAGCACCCTAAGCAACTGCTCTGTTTTTTGTTGACTTGTTGCAGCCGAGGCAGGGGATTCTGTCTAGATGATATCCCCAGCAAGAAAGGCTTGAAGTCCAACGTCATTGCCCCTGGAGTTATTTATGACGTTCACCACCAGTGCCAGCTCCAATATGGCCCAAATGCTACCTTCTGCCAGGAAGTGGAAGTAAGTGCTGGCTTCTTGGTGGCTCTGGTGGGGTGGTGCAGGACTTGAGATCTGCAGCATGCTGGTGGAAGTGTCAGAAAATGTTTGGAAACTGGAGATCCAGGCCCAGAAATAAAAGCTTTATTTTAAGTATACTCTTATTTATACAAACCTTTCATCCAACTTTCTTAGAGTTCTATGGAGCCACAAATCCTATAAAACTTGGAAGCAGTTCCAGGGTGATTTACAGAGATTATAAGATTATAGTATTTAACACCTTTGAATTCTATAGTAGTCAACCTATTCGTTAAATTTGCATTCTCTAAATTTTCCAATTGGTTGCAGAGTATCATTAGACCACAGGGGTGGACTAAAATCCATCCCCAGTCACTCTTCTCTTTATTTTCAGGATCTAATAGATAAGTCAAGACTTGGCATTGTGCTCTTCAATAATTAGCATCTCTGTATTGCCTTCTTTGTTACCACACTGTCTTGATTCTGCTTATCCTCTCTTGATATTCTAATGACCTCCCAGTCTATTTACTATTCAAATTGCTATTCCTGTTGTTTTAAAAGCACAAATCTAACCATGCTGCTGTTCTTGAGTCACTACTATTCACTGGATACAATGCCAACTCCTGTGTCACATATATTTTTTAAAAATTTGGACTCAGCCTACTCTGCATTTTGCAATAATTTCTTTATGGTTGATAGATAATAGATAGATAGATAGATAGATAGATAGATAGATAGATAGATAGATAGATAGATAGATAGGAACTGATAAATACTGCTGTCTGAAGTATAGCAGACAAAGGTTTTCTCCCATTCTGTATGTTTCTTCTTTACTTTGCTCATAGTTTCTTTTGCTGTGAAGAAACTTTTCATCTTCATGTTTAAAATCAATTTTTGGTGCATGTTATCTTTTTATCTTCTAAGTTACTAGGTCTTCCTCAGATATGTTTCTATGCAGGATTTGAAAGTAAAACAGAGTTCAAACTCATGTTTGTTTTCCAGAATGTTTGCCAGACACTGTGGTGCTCCGTCAAAGGTTTCTGCCGCTCTAAGCTGGATGCTGCTGCAGATGGGACACGGTGTGGTGAGAAGAAGGTGATGTGTTGGTCTGGGGAAGATGGTGGGAGGGCAGTTAACGTGGAGCTCTTGGAAAGAGGTGGGAAGAAGGCCCTGAAGGGGGTGATGAGCACCCAATGGCAGTCACATCATCAGACCAGACACAGGAAATGACCCTACTTCTGCTGCTCCTGTCCAACCTTTGCTGGGACCAGTTGGTCCATGAGAAAGGGCTGAGCATAGTTCTGCACTTTACTTGTGGAGCAGCAGTCCAATCTTCCCCTGATGAACTACTATGGAGTTTCTGGTCTCTTCTGAGCTTGCTATCAACTTTCATTTTTGAAATTTCTTCCTCAGTATTAAAGATTGGAAAGCACTGGCAAGTGGCCCCCAAAACCTCAGAGTAGGTCTTTTTTTTTTTTTTTTTTTTTTAATAATCCTCCCTTTAACTGTCTGACGTGACAGAATATCTTCAAGTGCTTCCCACTTTTTAAAGCAGAAAAGTCTTCTGGCCGCAACTCACAGACTTCAGATCTTCTCCAGATTGCCTGAGGGCATGGTGGCTCATGCTGACCAGCAAAGTATGTTATATTATTCTGGGTCTATGGCTTAGGAGTTTAGTGTGTATCTACATACAGCTTGTGTTTGGGACCATCTGTCACTGAGTTTATAAAGCCAGATAAAGCTGATTCTAGAAACCCAATTTATTTGAAGAAGCTCTCTAAGCCCTTTTCAGCATGGCTCCTGTTGTATTATTATAGAAAGTCTTCTGGCTTGGAAAGAATTGCGTTTAGACTTAGAAAGTCTTTGGCCCAGCTTCCTATGAAATCTCCTGACACATGTCCTCTCTATCATATCTCTTTGCAGTGGTGTATGGCTGGAAAGTGTATCACAGTGGGGAAGAAACCAGAGAGCATCCCTGGAGGCTGGGGACGCTGGTCACCCTGGTCACACTGCTCCAGGACCTGTGGGGCAGGAGCTCAGAGTGCAGAGAGGCTCTGCAACAATCCTGAGTAAGGCCTGACATGAATACTTGCTTTCCTTTCTTCTGTAAGTGCTGGCACACTATTCTTGAATAGCATGACACCATTTTTAAAGATTTCTAAGAGAAATTTGGTTAATTCCCAAAGACAAAAAGACCCAGAAGATTCACATGGGGTGGAAAAACAAAACAAACAAACAAACAAACAAAAACAACCTTCTTTTTCAATGCAATTAACTTGGTATTGGAATCTCACTAACAGATAAGTAAGCTTATTCCATTATTTGGGTGAAACAAAGCCGGCTTCTTTTAAATGTAGAAACAAATTTCTTTTAAACATTTTATCTATGTGAAAAAAACTCTCCAGGAGCTTGTGCAATTAAAATTTTCTGGATAACTGTACTTTATCACTAAGAAGTAGATTAGTAAAACTCAGCTGATATGATTATAGCTAGATTTCAATCACAATGAATGTACAATTTTGTAAAAATATTCATCCCTTATGTAACTAGTAAAATAACCAAGCAAATTTTTGAAGTTTATTATCATTAACATTCTAGCAACACATCTTTTTTCTTTTTTAATTAATTTATTTTTTATAAATAACAGTTTATTCACTTTGTATCCCAGCTGTAGCCCCATTCCTCATTCCCTTCTAATCCCATCCTCCCTCTCCAAGTCCACTGATAGGGGAGGTCCTCCTTCCCTTCCTTCTGACCCTAGCCTATCAGATATCATCAGGACTGGCTGCTTTGTCTTCCTCTGTGGCCTGGTAAGGCTGCTCTTCCCTCAGGGGGAGCTGATCAAGGAGCCAGCCACTGAGTTCAAGAAGGAGGAACTGAGTATGATGATCGATCCACACTCAGATAGGCAAAAGGGATGGACATCTAAAGAGGGAGAAAACAGGGAACAGGAGAGGAGCCTACCACAAAGGGCCTCTGAAAGACTCTACCCAGCAAGGTATTAAAGCAGATGCTGAGACTCATAACCAAACTCTGGACAGAGTGAAGGGAATCTTATGAAAGCAGTGAGAAAGAGTAAGACCTGGAGAGGACAGGAGCTCCACAAGGAGAGCAACAAAACCAAGAAATCTGGGCCGAGGGGTCTTTTCTGAGACTGATACTCCAGCCCAGGACCATTCATGGAGATAACCTAAAGCCATGACAGCTAAGTGTCCAAGTGGATTCCCTAGTAAGGGGAACAGGGACTGTCTCTGTCATTTTTAAATTTTTAATCCATTGTTTATTTTCTTTATATAGTAAATTTGTAATGTTACATATCTGTGTGTAAGGTAAGCTTAAATTGTCATGTTTTTAAATATATTGCATTTTTTATTTCATTACTTTCTCATATACGAGTTTCTAAGTATTTATTTTTTGAAGATGCATTTAATGCTTCCTAGTAGTGGAAACGGGACTCAGCTCTTTTTTCTAGACTTGCCTTTGCTTTAAAGAATAAAAGCCACATTTTTTAAGGCAAGTGATAAAAGTGATTACAAGGCCTCTCAGCATCTAAGTTCCAAATCTTGATTTTCTCCTTTTATTAATGAGCGTAGAACTATATGATAATTATATATGTACATGTGTTATATACACATACGATTTGTTATATATAAATTTGTTTTCACAGTTGATTTTTAATTTATAGCTTAATACAGTTATATTATATTATGTTATAAATTACAAATAAGCACTGTTTATGAGGTCATCATGTACACATGTAAGGATTTGTTTGAGGAATTATGATATAATTGTTTTAACATTTTGCCCCTTAAAAAAACATTATTATTTTAAAAATTCAACCAGGACTGTCTTATATAGTACTCTATTTTTAGAGAAAATACTTACCAGTTTGGTCAAGAGTGTGCTTCTGAGAACAGGAAATATAGGCAGTTTGCTCTGAGACTTGTGGTATGTATTCAGCCACCACTCCTTAAACTTGGTAAGGTTTTCAATAACCTATGGTCTTCAGAGAAGTGATGGTCTCGCTAAGGAACTGAAGAATGATTCCCTTGCTCAGCATTAGAGGACTGGGTATCCTAATCCCCATCTCCATGGCTGAGAGTTCTTAGTCTCCTTGGGTGAGCAATGACACCTGACTCTATACCCCATTTTCTTGATTTTATTGAGAACACTGTTAATGGGAACTAGTTCTATTAAAAATCTTTGTGATTCGGTCACAAAGTCATATCAGTATATGAGCCAGCTATAGCTCTTATGTTGACAACTGTAGCTTTCTTTGATCACAATATGCAATCGTGTAAAAGAAATGTATTTTTCCCAGGGACCATTTCCTGATCTTATCTTTGACACTGGTCAAATGAGACCAGCTACAGAGGTAGTGAAATATTGGTACATCTGACTCATAAGAGACTCTTGGCGATATTTGTTGGAGGTAAATGAGATGAACAGGTGCCAAGTCACAGTCTCTGTTATTTAAAGGAGACTAGCATGACCTCAAAAGTTAAGGACAATTCTTAGTACCTCCTGCAAGGAAGAGACAAATCATGAGCCTGCTATGTGAAGGGCCCTAAGCTCTCACCTTGCGCTAAGAAAATGTGGGATGGGGGGTGGAGTAGAGTAAGTCTCATGAACACGGATGAGAACAAGAACACAACTAGACTGGTGGGATGTCTTTGAGGGCTGAAAGGAGGCTGCACATGGATAAGAACTTGGGGTGCAGATGATAACGCATGGTCCAAACCTTGACTTGGCCATAATCAGCTGGGAAATGCACTTCTTGCTTCTGTCATATGATTGCATCTGTCCTGTTCATGTACCCTATCTCCAGCATTTTCTCTGAGACTGTTTTCTAGGTCTATCCCTCCAAAAACTCTTTCTATCCAACTTCACTGCCATGAAGCACTCTTTCTTATTCAAACCCTTATTGTACTGATAGTCATGCACACTTAGTTGCTATATTAAAGTTTCTTATTGCTGTGTAGGTTTATTAAGGGCTGGAGAGATGGCTAGGCTAGGTTCATAACCCAAATTTGTTTTAATATTTTAACAAACCTGTAAATTTTTGAGGAAGTTCAAGACTGGTGTTGATTTTATACTAATTCTTTCTTCCTCACAACATGTTGTTGAGAACAATGTTGTATTTCAATGTTGGTTGGTTTGTATTTCCAATACCTAAAAGAGTCTATTGTGTCTTCAATTCTTATGGTATAGTAACTACTACTCTACTAAATATTCATATGTATTGTCTCATTGAACTTTTAAAATTATTGTAAAATAAAGATTAATATGCTCATTTCACAATAATAAATAACTGGGCTCAGCAAAATAAGATAACTTGTTTAGATTCATCTAACTAACAGAAAGTCAAGTTGATGCAAGGCCCCATTATATTACACTGCAGTGATCGTCACAGTATCTCTCTGAGGGTACAGCAAAGTGCAGGTAAGGAGGCATGGTCAGTCACTCTGGAGCCTTGCTAGGATCTAGCAGCTGCCCTCTGCTCCTCTGAGAGACTGCCTACTCCCCTTATACATGATACCGAGTGAGAGATTCTCAGAACCTCACATCACTTAAGTCTTTATGGACGGTGTAATATGTTGCTGTGCTCATGGTACTGCATAGGCTCTCTAGAGGAATTAGAACTCGGCCTGGGTCATTAAAGGACTATGTTGAGAAAAAGGCCAGAAAGTAGAGTCAGAACATAAAAATATCCTTTTAAGGAGAAAGAGATCACTTGTGGTTGGCATCCAGGGAGGGTTTATGATGGAGGCAGCATTTGTCATCAAAGAATAGGCAGCATGTAGACATGTAAAGATTTAAAAGAAAGGAATTCCATGCAGAGACACAGAAAATCACTAGAAAATAAGGATATAGAGGAGAATATGTGAAGACTGATAAATCAGACAAGACAGAACCATGAAAGCCTGGAGTGGCAATCTCAAGAACTTAGACTTGATTGACATGATTTTTAGCCATTGGGTGACACTAAAAATCTTTTTAATTAATTAATTTATTTATTAATTTTACATCCTGATAGTAACCCCCTCCCTCCTCTCCTTCCAGTACCTCTCTCCCTCCTTCTTCTTCCATTCTCCCCTCCCTTATTCCGTAGTTAAGGGGGTGTCCCCCAGCCACCCAGCTCATCAAGTCACATCAGAACTGAGCACACACTCTTCCCCTGTGCCACCATCAGGGAGACACTAAAAATCTTTAAACAAGAACTAATATACTTAAGGATACCATGGATAGGCTGGACATGGTGGTGAAGGCCTTTAATCTTAGTGCTCAGAAGGTGAAGGCAAGAGGGATTTCTGTAAAACTGAGGCCAGGCTGGTTGAACTAGCAAGTTCTAGGCCAGCCAGGAGTACATAATGAGATCCTGTCTCAAAATTCTATGCATATAGAATACATATTCCATAATATTCTAGAATTCTACAATAATATGTGTAAAGTATAATAGAAATATACATTTCTATTAAAATATAAATCATTTAAAACTGGCATACATATAATTAAAGTAGGTGTATATATATATATATATATACACTTTAAAAATAGGAAGTTTAGAACTGAAAGGCTGGTGAGAAACATACACACTACCAAACAGTATGAAATTGGAAACATTTATCTGTTTCTTTAGATCACAAATAGGCATGGTATAACAAGAAACAGCCATGGCCAGGTGGCAAGGGATTTTTAAAAGGAAATTGTTAGCTTCTCGGGAAACATAAAGAACATCTTTTCTGTTTCCTCTGCAGACCAAAGTTTGGAGGGAAATACTGTACTGGAGAAAGAAAACGCTATCGCTTATGCAATGTCCACCCGTGCCGCACAGACACTCCCACTTTCCGGCAGGTGCAGTGCAGTGAATTTGACACGGTCCCCTACAAAAACGAATTTTATCACTGGTTCCCAGTGTTTAATCCAGGTAAGTGAGCTTAGATATGAATTTCAGTTCTGGAGTTTCTTGGAAGCCCTGTAAAGGTCAGCAGAAAGAACTGGGGTTCTCAGTTGTAGAAGACGGTAACACTGGCTGGCTCAGGTGGACCATTAAATGTTGAAGGTTGGGGATGTCCAGTCTTTCCCTGTGGGAGACAAAATGGCATTCTTCAAACATGGTGGCTGGCTTGCAATAAGTGGGACAAGTAGGAATTTAGATGCGCAGTAGATATTCAGAACAGGCAGAGTGAGAGTAACTTCAAAGGAGCTGTCCGTTGAAGCAGCTGATGGGTTTATGTATAACGGATTTTTCTGTGAAGAAAAGGGAAAAAAAGGCATTTGAAAAAGTCATTCCATATGGAGAACAGTTCAAAATAAAAAAATAAAAATAAAAAAATGAAGATAGTAAGAATGCCTTCATCAGAAATGAGTGCTGGGCCTGAGATCAACATTTAATGTGACCAGTGTAACACCACAAGGTTGAAAAGTAAAATCAAAAGATTTAAAGGGTGCATGTCAAGGGATGGAGGTATAACTGAGCTGGAGCATGTGACTATAGCTTTGGCCACTCTGCCAGAGATAGTTCTGCAGTCTTTCTTAAAATGAAGTCAGTGATCTTTTGTCATCTCTGTGCTATGTAATTTGAACAAGGAATGAAAAAAGAAAGATCTCCCTAACTTAAGGGTATTTGAGGCAAGGGAGTAAAAAAAAAAACAGCTAATCTAACTTTTATATGATCATTAGATTCTTGAAATTCCAATGTGCTGAGACTCAAGAGTCACAGGTGCAAGGAATTTGCAGTTGGCTGCTAGAACAATTATAGTCAAAGCTGTGAAAATCTTTGTGGAGGGAAAAACTCTAAAGAGATTTGCCCACTTTGAGTCTCCAAAGCATCTTGATAGCTCTCATTTGTCCTTGTTTCCCTTTCTTGCTGGAAGGGAGTGCAACTGAGACATTTGATTATATAACCAGTGGCAAAGTCAGTGCCATCTATGTCTATGTTCGGCGTATTTTTGTTTTGTGTTGAAACTATTGGGCTCACTGATTTTATGTGCTGAATGAGCAGCTTCCAGGACATACCAAAAGAGCTCCACTGGTGAAATAGGTACTCAGTTTTTTTCACATCCCTCCTCCCCCATTGTAGAAATAGACATGTATATATTGAATGCTGATGACGCAAATAACTTGACTTGGAATTAAAAGGGTTGATTCAACTTGGCTTTATGTCGATTTATAAGCAATTATCATATGCCTATTTTTTGCTAAGGATGACTGTAGGTACTAAATAAATGAGAGTCGTTAGAGTAGACAAAGCTTTCCTATGCTTTGGAGTGACTGGTTTGCATCCATCACTGGGACTGAATATGCTGATGGCTGAACTAACTGTTTACCTGGAGTCAAAGCATCAATCCTCTAGCCTAGTGGTTTTCCCACAGCTCTTGTGGTGCTCCACTGATATGAATATCTGTTGTCTCCTCCAACCCATGTAAAACTCATCAAAATTTTTCTCCTCTTAAATATTTTATCCTTCGTTTCAAGTTTGATTTCTACTTCTAATGATCACTTCTTAAAATTTTACCCCCAAATGTTGAGACATCCTGTTTTAGCAGGATCAAAAATGCAACCCTTGATTCAGTAATTACCATTCAGCTGCCTGAGCTTTTCTGGGAGAGCAGATGAATCACATAGTGTAGGGGTAAGATCAATTATAAACACAAGCTTTATTTATTTCTTTTTGTATTTAGCAATCACTTTTAGGATCATTGCCAGAAAGTATTGAGCGATTTCATTTCAGTAGAATTGAAAGTGTAGCCTTTGGCTCAGTAAATTCACTCAGTCACCCAGGCTTGCTGGTAAGGTTAATCAGATAGCATGAAAGCAAGAGTTCACCTATAAATTGGTTTTAGTGCTTTCACTTGCCAAATTATAAATGTTCTTGAACGCTAGAGGGAAATATCACGTGACCCCGCAAAAGGATGCAGCAGGGCAGGTGAATAAATGTGAGACAATGAAAATATTCAACACTGGGGGGTTTAGAATCTATGAGGTTGACATTTGGGTCAGTGAATCTCTGATGCATTATGATGATCAGTGAGAAAGGACCATTCATCTTCACCCTTGCCTCCTTAGTTAGAACCCCGGGTCACAGGATACTGATATCTGCAGACTCCCTCAAAGTGCCATGAAAGAGAGGTTAGAAAAGATGGTGATAGGGACACAGCATTGACTCAGCATTACAAATTATTTAAGGGGCACTAAGCCTTCTGTTTATGTTGCCCTCTTCACCAAGGGTCCTCTTTAGTCTAAGTATATATCAACTCTGAGAAGATGAAAGCAGTTGATCCAGTGAAAGTGGAAAGGAGCCAAGAGCAGGGGAGGTTACAATGGGAAAACAGCAAAGGTAAAGAGGGTAGTGGAGACAAGCGGAGTGGAAAATCTACTTAGACATACTTTGTTTGAAAATGCTATAATGTTATCTAATAAATCATATCCCAATTTTAAAGATAAATTAAAAACAGTGATGGTCTACATGCTATTATTTTTGCCACAAATATCTATGGATATTTCTGAGGCTTCATAAACTACACACTCACACTCAACAGACATTTGTGTTTTGTATGTGTTCCATGCTTCGTGTATGTTTTTATGGTCAAACATTAAAGGATGTTTGATCCTTTCCTGGGAAAGAAGATTGGAGGGACGTTTTGAAATAAGGACCTCTCAGAGTGGAGATATGTTATGATAAAGGAAAAGTATTCAGGTTGTATGGTTTCAGAGCTAAAGCATTATTTTGGAAAGGAATATATGTGTTTTATGTAAACTGTAAACATTCCCAATTGAATGAAAGTGAAATTCATTCTTCTTATATCATCACACTTAATCTATTCCCAAGAAGTAACCATTGTTAATAACACATTTTTGTTTCCACAAGAATAGATTCTCCTTATCAATTTTGCAACTTTCTTGATCTACTAAGTGTAGCTCATATAGGGCACACTCCTTTTAGTTAAGTGCACAGCGCCCCATTATAGAAATGCAATGTAATTAGTTTGTGCATTTCTCTCTGGATAAACATTCCATTGTTGTATTTAAGTTCTTGACTTTTCTCACCATGGGTAATATTTATTTTGTGATTGCCTGAGTTAATATTGCCTCATGATTAAAATGACATTCTATGTTAATCCATACAGAAGGTTTTCACTAACAATATTGATCATGCCACAACATTTAGTTGGCGAAGATGAATTAGAAGTCTTGCAGTAATCATGTCCTATAGTAATCATTCTGTGGAAGAGGTTAATGTTTAATTCTTACAACCACTCTATCCTTCCAACAACCACCATTGCGTGGACTAAACCCTGAAAACTCTGAGCTGGGAATAAAATGTGTATCACAATGGTTCAAACTCCAGTGCTGTGTGAAGAAGAATCCCAAGCCTGACCTTCTCTCTGCGTATTATTAAATTTATATTCCTTCCCATCCTCCACTGGCTGGCAGTAGCTGATAACAAACAATTGACCTGCTCTTTAGAAAACTGCCAACCCACAGCCTTAGAACTGTAAAAAGGAGGACTCGATAGTTAAGAGAGAAGCAGCCTATCATTGAATAAAGGTCCACAATTACAGTAAAGGAATGTATGAAGACACCTGCTGCCTGAGCAAGATCTATATTCTTTATGCCGATTGGACAGCTACCAGTTAATTAGAAACCACAAAACAAAGTTTAAACTTAATTTAAAATTGGTTAGTAATGAATTATATGAAGAAAGATTTTGTGGTTTTGTTTGATTGTTTTTGTTTAGAATTAAAACTTAATAGCAGTTACAAGTCTTGACTATTTGAAGAAATTGGAATGAAAAGCGTAGAATGTCAAGGCTGCTTTAAATGAACTTCTTGAATCCGTATGCTAATGATGAGAATACAGGAATAATGATAATAATTTCTTGAGCACTTATTTTTACATATATAGAACAGAACTAAGTGCTTAACCTGAAACTGAGGCCTAGAAAATTAAGTCATTTTCTCATGGTAATATTAGATTTTTATGAACTAAAACTCTTTCATCTGTTCTCTGTATAAGTTATTAGCTCAGGATCTAATACTTTCATATATATATATATATATATATATATATATATATATATATATATATAATGAGATGATATATATTAAATTAAAACAAAGTCCAGTTGGGCATTGCTGAGTTTGTGTAATAGTGTAAAAAGTGGACCCATTAATAATTACATCAAAGACATTTGTGTGGAATTAAAAGACATTTCAATGATGCATTGTAGGGGGCCCATTGTACTTTGGGCCCTAAATTCAATCTGGTGGATTAGCTTTGCCATTCATACCTAGAAACCACTAGATTTATAGCTCTTACACCTACATTTTCTAAGCCTTGATGTAGGTAACAAAGTACTAATTGTACAGGATGATGGATTACAAGAAGCGATAACCTGTGTAAAGCAAAATGAAATCTGGAAGTAATGTTTAATAAAGTATTACCTACTAATTTAGCAAGCCAAAATTCTTTTAATTTACTGTGCAAAAGCCACTAGCAAAAGTCTCTTTTTCAAGAGACTTTTTTTTGTTATTATTCTTTTTTTTATTTTTTTTCATTTTTTTTGTTAATTACACTTTATTCATTTTGTATCCCCCCATAAGCCCCTCCTTCCTCCCCTCCCGATCCCACCCTCCCTCCCCTTTCTGCATGCATGCCACTCCCCAAGTCCACTGATAGGGGAGGTTCTCCTCTCCTTTCTGATCTTAGTCTATCAGTTCTCATCAAAATTGGCTGCATTGAGACTTTTTTTTTTTCAAGAATTATGTTACACATTACAGACTCACAAGCCTACAACAAGCCTGGGACCTTACCACTCAGGGACTCGGTGCAGTACTTGACATAGGATGGAGGGTTATTCTCCATGAAAACAGTTATATGACTGTAAGATTAAGTTCCTCCTTAAATCTTGCAACCTGCTTCTCACCCTGGCTCCTCCCAGCAGCTTTGAAGTAGACAAGAGTTCTGTTTTGTTCGAGATAGTGTCTTTCCATGTAGCCTTGGCTGTCCTGGAACTCACTGTGTAGACTAGCCTGCTAGCCTGGCCACTAACTCAGAGATCTGCTGTCTTCTGCTTCCGGGGTACCAGCATTAAAGGCATTTACTACCTCACCTGGCGGTGCATGTTTTTTTTTTTTTTTAAAAAAAAGGAAATCCCTGTAATTATTCAGGACTGCTTTCCTTTTCTGCATGTCTCCAAATACAAAACCCTGAACCTGATTTCTCATGCCTTGGAAAGCGTAGTTTCTGGCAGGTGGCTGCCCCTGTGTGCTTGTACTCCAGTTTGGACAGCGATGGTTCACTTCCATGAAAGGTAGTTGACAGTAATCCCAGTTTATTTCTCATCCTCCATCTTCTGAGCCTGTCCACTGGCCCTGTGCAGAATAATCTCTTTGATGCATTCTGACTTTGTCCACCTTCTCAGGACAACTATGAAATCAGTTGGTATTCTTAATTTACATATTCCCTTCCTTTAAGCTTTATACAGATGGATCTGACATCTTTCTCTGGTTCATCCAACATACTCACTATGTCGTGTCCAGAGTCTTAGCTTCTAGGTATTTTCAACTCGCATCAAAAGTGTAACTAATTATAAACATTTTTCATGACAAAAAGAGAAACAAGAATGCCTAAATTTTAACATGTATCTCTGAAAGGCAAAAGATGGGTTCTTAAGCGGTACTTGTAGGTCGCAAGTGTGCAGGAATCCCGGGGAAGGGTCTGAGCTGCAGAGTTAACTCACAGGAATGTATCCTTCTCTCACTCCAGCACATCCTTGTGAGCTGTACTGCAGACCCATAGATGAACAGTTTTCTGAGAAAATGCTGGATGCCGTCATCGATGGCACCCCTTGCTTTGAAGGAGGCAGCAGCAGAAATGTCTGTATTAATGGCATATGTAAGGTATTGGGTATGTTTCCTTCATCTACAACTTTACAAAATGGTGGTTTTTGAATTTATAAAGCTAGATGTTGTAAATTTATAATTTTATGACATTTACTTGTATCTAATTTTTGTATTAATAAATGGTCAGACACTTGAGAAGATAAGGTCTTTCAGCACATTAAAGTAATGCTTTGACCTGAATAATTTTTTCAGCTGATATTTTATTTCTTGATTTACTAATGGTCACAATGATATTATTGTACACACTGAGCAGTCAAACTGAAAAGACCAGCTGAAATAGGCATTATAGAAAAAGTCAGCCTCGACTACTTCAAAAACATTGCATTTGAAAAAAAAAAGATCCTACCAACACTTTCTATAAAGCCTCTCCCTTGTCAACATAGATGTCTCAGAAAGAGAGAGTATGATGGGTAGTGATAACACGTGCTTTTGATTTTAAAGTATTTTCTAAATGCACCCGATTAATCAACTCCATCCTCACCTATTTAGATCTGATTTGTTCATGCCATGAAGAGTAAAAACCATTAAAGATTTTAGTTTCTGGAGCTTGTATTTAATTTCTCAAGGAATGGAGAAATAAGTCTTGCGATCCAAAGTCCAGACATAAATCTGTTTAAAGAGAAGGTGCTTTCAGTAGTTAAAGGAAATAGTATGATGAGACCTAATGTACTGATAATAAAACGATGCTTTAGCCGTAGTGCTCAAGACTATGAACTCATTCATCATTTACCAGCTGCATCCTCTTGGGCATCTTTCTGTAAGACTCGGCTTTCTGTCAGAAAATTACTGCTATTTTCTTCACTTTTACTACTTCTTTGAAAATTTCATACAATGTATATTGGTCATATTCACCTTTCTCCCAAGTCTAATGCTCAGTTTCCACCCAACTTTGTATCCTTTTTTAATCCCTATCAAGTATAGTTTCTGTTGGACCTGTAGTTTTGGATGTGTAGCTATGCCTCTAGAGTGTGGGCCACACCCTCAATTAAAGTTGATGCTCCTTCTCCTATCAGCTACCAGCTACCAATAGCTCCCCAAAGAGATTTTTGTCTTGCTTAAGCTTGTGCAGGTGTTATGTGTGCTACCACAACTGCTGCCGTGTCACAGGTGCAATGGCCTTGCTGTGTCTGAAAAAGGCCTTTTTCCTTATAGACATCTCCTGCCTCTAGCTCTTGCACTCTTTTGTCCCCTCTTCTGCAGCGATCCTTGAGCCTTGGGTGGAGGGAGGATAATATATATGTTTCATTTAGCACTCTACAGTCCTTCTTCTTTTTTTAAACTTATTTATTTTATTATGTCTGCAATGTTCTGCCTACATGTAGGCCTGAACACCAGAAGAGGGCAACAGCTCTCATAATAGATGGTTGTGAGCCACCATGTGGCTGCTGGGAGTTGAACTCATGACCTCTGGAAGAGCAAGCAGTGTTCTTAACCTCTGAGCCATCTCTCCAGCCCCAGTCCTTATTCTTTACAAGCCATCAAGCTGTGAGCTTCTCTATTAATTGCTATCTACTGAAAAAAGAAGCTTCTCTGAGAGATACATTAATTTTAACATAATATTATTTGGAATCCACTGAATAATATGGCCATTTGATAGATTCTAGCCCTAGGGCCCATGATCTGCCTACCCACAGGTTCTTAATGCCAATATCAGTGTCAGGTATGAGTTTCAACTTGGCTGTGGAGCAGGCCTCACATCTAATCATAAAGTGGTTGGTTAGTCTTATGACATTCATGCCACTATTGCCCCAGTGAACATGTTTTTCAGGCCAGTTATAGCTCACAGGATTCACATATTTGTAAGATTAATGATTACTTTTCTTGAGTAGCACTATTCCCAATTTTCTGAGAAAGTGCAAGGAAATCATGAAATTTGCAGGCAAATTGATGGAACTAGAAAAGATCATCATGGCTGAGATAACCCAGAACCAGAAAAACATGCATGGTATAAACTCACTTATAAGCGGATACTAGCCATATAATATAGGATAACCATACTAAAATCTACAGATCTAAAGAAGCTAAACAGCAAGGAGGACCCTAGGGAACATGCTTAAATCTCATTCAGAATGGCAAACAGGATAGACATGAGAAGCAGTGGAAGAGAGAGAACAGGATGGAAGCCTACTATAGAGGGTCCTCTGAAAGGCTCCACCCAACAGCAGATTGAAGCAGGTGCTGAGATTCACAGCCAAACTTTGAACAGAGCGCAGGGAGGTTTATGAAGTGGGGTGGGGGATAGAAGGACATGGAGGGAACAGGAGCTCCACAAGGAGATCAACAAAGCTAAAAAATCTGAGCCAAGGAGGTCCTGCAAACACTGATGCACCAACCAATGGCTATGCATGGAGAGTACCTAGACCCCTGCTCAGATGTAGCCCATAAGCAGCTCAGTCTCCATGTGGGTCTCCAAGTAAGAAGAGCAGGGCCTCATTTGCCTGCTTTTTGATCACTTTCCACCTGGCAATGCAGCCTTGCCAGGACAGAGAGGAAGAGAATCCGAGTAATCCTGATGAAACTTGATAAGCAAGGAATAGATGGCAGGAGAGGAGAACTGCACCTTTCAGTGGACTAAAGGAAAGGGATAGGGAAGAAGTGGGAAGGAGAGTGGGACCAGGAGCAGCTGGGAGGGGGATACCACTGGGATATGAAATGAATAAATTATGAATATATAGAGAGAGAAAGAAGGAAAGAAAGAAAGAAAGAAAGAAAGAAAGAAAGAAAGAAAGAAAGAAAGAAAGAAAGAAAGAAAG